ATGTGGCGAGAGAATCCACAATGCACAAGTAACAGAATTAACTAGATTTCCATACTTACTACACACGGTTTCTAGTTTTAGACGCACATATGAGGCATTTTGTTGCTAAATAAAATATTTTAATTATGGATGTATAACAGGCTTTCTCATTGGTTCTTGTTTGGTTAAAGGTTAATTTCATGCTTGCCAGTTTCCATAGTATTTGTATTACTAAGCCTTTTCTTATAAATAGTCGTTTTTGGCGCTATATTGGTTTACAGTTTTGTAAGACACGTTTGATGATTGACGCTTTTGGAAAAATTAAAACTATTAAAACTGATTATTTCTTTTAAAAAAAGTTCTTCTGTTACAGTTAATTCAGATACAAATTGTTTTTGTGGACATAATAGAAGTTGTAAAATCTGTTTATCTCTTAAAGATAACTTGAATTTATCTTCCTTAAATAAGGTTGATATTACCAAGCAAGTTAAGGCTTCTGGTAGGTTTAACTTTGAGGAATGTCGGATTCAAGTTAATCATAAAATTGATACTGTTTTCATGAGTAAGATGCTGCAAGGTTATTATGATATGCAGGTTTGTGAATTATTGAAATTTGGGATTCCTAATGATATTGATTTGGAAGATAAAAGCATTTTGTTTTCTAAAACTTCAAAAGTAAAAAATCATATGTTTTCCAGATGATATGGTCAAATATTTACAGAAAGAAGCTTCACATGGGACTGTTATTGGACCTTTTGCTCGTTGTCCCTTTGATGAAGGTATGGTCATTTCTCCTCTTAATACTGTACCAAAATCAAATCCTAATGAGCGTAGGGTGATTTTAGATTTAGGTTATCCTAAAAATGGTACTGGGGTAGATGACTTTGTTCCTAAAGATCATTATCTTGGGAGTAGAGCCGATTTGGTTTTCCCCAAAATTGACGATTTTGTAGCCTTAATTAAGAGTAAAGGTCAAGGTTGTTCTATGTATAAACTAGATTTAAGGCGCGCATATAGACAAATAAGTATATGTCCTTCTAGTTATAATTTGGTTGGTTTTTCCTGGAATAATCATATCTTTTTCGATACAGTTTTAGCAATGGGGTTACGAACGTCTGCATATATTTGTCAAAGGGTTACAAATGCTTTCGCTTTTTCATGATGTGGAATGTTGGTTTACCTTGTTTAAATTATTTAGATGATTTTGCAGGAGTAGAAAATGAGCATACTGCTATTTTTGCTTTTAATTTTTACGGGAGATTTTTATTAGGAGCGGGATTGAGGAGGCTGTTGACAAAGCTTGCCGTCCATCTCAGGTTATGATTTTTTTAGGAGTTTTGTTAGACAGACTTACTATGACAATGCAGGTCACGGAGGAAAAGCTTAATGAAATTAAGGATATAGTTTTTTCTTGGTTAGATCGTGATACTGCTTCTTTGAATGATATACAAAGATTGCTTGGTAATTTAAATTTCGTTGGAGCTTGTGTTAGATCAAGCCGTGTTTTCATAAACCGTATTTTGAATTGGTTAAGAGATTGTTATGATTCTCAATTAGATGTTTTTCAAATTCCTTTTAAAGTTAAGACAGATTTGTTATGGAGGAGTAAATTTTTACCCATATAAAATATAATGGTATCTCCATGATTGATTATGATGAGTGGTTACAAGTTGACAGTGTTTTCAGTTTTGATAGTTGTTTAACTGGTTGCGGAGGTATATATGGTTCCAAATTTTTTCACGCTCCATTTCCTGGATTTGTTTTAGATCAGACTTTGAGCGTTTCTTTTAGATATGTTGACTGTTTTAGTTTCATTGAAACTTTGGGGTCTTGAATTACGTCAGAAAAAAGTGGTTATTTTCTGTGATAACTTATCAGTTTGTATTGTAATTAATACAGGTAAAGCCAGGAGTTCCTTTTGACAGCAGTGTTTGAGGGAAATTGGTTTCATAGCTGCTGTGAATGATTTTCAATTAAGGGCAACCCATCTTACTAGTGCTGATAATCGTATTTCAGATTGTCTAACTAGATGGCATTTGGATCCTAGATTTAAATCAGAATTTTTTAGCTGTGCTTCAGACATTTTTTCTTTGGTAGATGTTAATGTTCCTGTAGATTATTTTATATTTCTTCATGATTGGTAACTTCTTGTTTCAGAATCAGAGCTTAAGGTTTTGACGCGTGATCTAAGACATAACAACACGTCGGCCTTTGCAGGCGGAACTAATAAGAATCTGCGTATTCAGTGGGTAAGTTTCATAATTTTTTGTTTATATTTCAAATTGGAATTTTTACCTGCCTCTACTGTCACTCTACAATTGTATGCTCAATTTTTGAGCAGATCTTTTGTTTCCGTTGAGAGTATAAAGAATTATATAAGTGGTGTCAAAACCTTGCATTTGTGTTTAGGTTATAATATTGACCATATTAACATGTATTTATTAAATTTGTCTTTCAAGGGTTTACAAAGATTAAAGCCTAGATTAGTTTAGAAGGCCGAACCCATAACTTTGGGTATATTGCTACAAATTCATGAGGTTTTAGATTTCTCTGTTGCAGATGATATAGTTTATTGGTGTTTGTTTTTATTTGCATTTTTTCTTGTTGCAAGAAAATCTAATTTGGTTCCCACAAATTTTTCTGATATTGTCAAAGTCGGTTTTTAAGTAAAGATAGTGTACGTTTTTATGGTGATTATATTTTAGTTCATTTTAATTGGTCGAAAACGAATCAATATGGAGAAAGAGAGGTGAGGTTATAAGTTCTTTATTACGACTTAAGGATGTTAGATTATGCCCTGTGGTTGCATATGAAAATATGCTTGCCTTAAAGTTAAGCAATAATAATAATGTTTTATTTTCTCTTTCAAATGGTTCATATGTTTCATATTATTTATTTCAAAAGAAATAAAGGGAATGTATTGCTACTTTAGCTCATCGTTCAAATATTTCTCCAGAACATATTCAACTTTTAGGTGATTGGAAATCTGATGCATATAAATCTTATTTGGAACTGAATTGGTCTGATAAGGCTAACAATTTATCAAAATGTTTGAGACATTATAAGTTGTTTATGTTATAGAATTGTTTTTTTCTCTTTACAGATGTGCTGTTCACATTATTTCCGATTCTATAGCTAAACATGTGGATGGGATTTGGCATTAGCTTTTCCAGGCATCAATTTAGTTCGATTGACTTCTAGGATTCAGCATGATCATTCCTTAGTGCAAAAACGTTTCACCATTATACATGTTGGCACAAACGATATTAATTCAAGTGATAATTTGTCAGTAGATCAAATTTTAAGCTATTTCAATAATTTGATCACAGTTATTCGTTATATATCTTCTACTCATATTGTTTTCTCTAGTATTTTACCTCGGCCTGTGGATTATTCTCATACAAATGTTAAAGTGAAGTTGGTTAATTAGAGGTTAGAGGCTAAATGTAAGGAACGTAAATGTCAATTCATCCATTCATATCGACCTTTTTCATGTTGGGAAGCCCATTTCTGATTTATTTGCAGTCAGAGATGTTGGGTTACACTTAAATTTTGAAGGAACTCGGTTTTTGCGTAGGTTCTTTATAAACACTAATTCTCTATTGAAGGGTAAATTTGCCATGTAGATTGAATAAATTAACCTTGTTACCAGCAGGTAGTGCAGATCTATCGTTTATAAAGAAAGCTTTGTTATAGTGGATAAGCATATTTCTTGTATCTACTAGGTGCTTTTAAGTCGCTGTTGTTTTTTAAGGGTTTAAAATGCCTTGAGATATGTTTGTATATATGATGTGCGTTTAGTGTCTTTGTATTTTATTGTTATTGTTCAACATTGTGATATTGGTCTTTTGGGCTAATTTCATTAAGGTCGGGATTTGAAGGAAGTATATCATTCCTTTAATTCTTTTGTGGTAATATGTGGTGGAAGTATCTGTATTTCATCTAGGTTTGTTCCCTTTTAAAGAAGGTATTATACTTCTTTGAGGGTTATATAACACATGATAATGGTATCTGTACGTTATCTTTGTTTTGTTTTTGTTTTTGTTTTTTTGTATTTTGAGATTAATATCACAATGTTTCATTTTGTTCAATTTGATTCTTGTCATTGCTATAAGCCTGTTTTGTTTAATGTTTGTAATTTGTTTATTTAAAGCTGCATACCTTCAGTTGATGCTAATTTTCGAAATTAACCTTCGGTAACAGATTGGTTTGTTGTTTCCAATTACATTTTGTCATAGCAATAGCATTCCGTATGTATTTAAAGGTGTGCCGCTTTAAAAGTTGTATATATCTGTATATACATGTATGTTTAAAGTAATGTATAATTTTCATTTGCTTTCATTTTTGTTGGTTTATCTATTTGTTGCTTTTTGTTTTGCCGGGAGTTGGCAGATTTGTAGTATTCATATTAGTTATTTAGCTGTTAATGGTCACTGTTACCTAATTCGATGAAGTAATGTTATTCATCATGTGATGATATCTGTTATAATAGAATTGTCGTAACTAGTATGAATTATTTAGGATAATCATTTTGTGTATCATTCATGTTATGCCTTTGTGAATTAATAACGTGTCTGTCTGCTCTATTAAAACTGATTATTTCTTACTTCGAGTTTCTGGTTATGACATAATTAGAACTAACTTCACGCAGACACAAGTGCATTGATAACACATTACGACAGAGATACTGAAAACCGTCTATCCGTCTGTATATGCAAAGCCTTCTCCGGAAATGCGTTCAATGTCGTATGGTAACCATATATAGCACCTGATCCACCACCTCTTCCAAAGATTAGAGTACAAGATACATCTCAATTTACAGTCACCGGGGTTGAAATCTGGACTCTGGGGAGCACTGTATGTACGCAGCAATTCTAGAATTGAACATAAGGCTTATATTTGTCTGTTTTCCCTGCGCTTCAACAAGAGATGTCCATCTCGAGCTGGTATCAGATTTATCAGAAGAAATCTTCATCCAAGCGTTTAGAAGATTTACAAGTCGAAAAACCCTACCACATATAATGATATCAGACAATGCAACAGCATTCAACGCGGCAGCAAATAGCATTCAACAACTCATGATATCAACGACGGTTAATGACGCTCTACACACTCATGGTACTGAATGGAGATTCATACCTAAGCGAGCACCATGGTTTGGCGGTTGGTGGGAGCGAATAAATAGACTAACAAAAACCACCATCAAGAAAGTTTTAGGTCGTTCATTTATTTGTTACGAGAACCTCCAGGCAATAGTAACAGAGATCGAGGGTATAATGAACGACAGACCGCTTACTTACGTCACTTCCGATATAGGAGACCCAGACCCATTAACACAGGCGCACTTGCTTTACGGGCAACGTATTACAACCCTTCCATATGATGGCAAAACACCAGAACCAAAGACTGTCACAATGTCTGATGTAACAAAAAAGGGCAATAATGCAGGCACAGCTTATCAGTCATTATCGTTTATGATGGCGTCACGAATATCTTACGTCACTGCGCGTCGGTACCACAAAACAACAGGAAACAACACTCAGACAGTTCAGGTTGGCGACATTGTACAGATTTATGATGAATCAACAAGGCCACAGTGGAAACTATGCCTAATCCTGCAGTTAATTTACGGTAATGACGGCCTCGCTCGAGCAGCAATTTTACGCATGAGTAATGGACTTGTCACTTCGAGAGTTGTTGTGAAACTGTACCCATTAGAAATCATTTCTACAACGTAATCATTTCGTGGCCGGGAGAATATCGGGAAGACGTACGCTATGTGTAGGCGGGAACAACAACGCCTTTTTGTCGGCGGGAATCAAGATGACGTCTACCTGTAATCATATCAACGTAACTACCGCTTTACGTGTGTATATTGAGACAATAAAAAGATAAAAACAAGACACAACGCAACAAGTCTATACCCATAGGTATCTACCTACCAAATATGTGGAAAATATCATAAAAATGGAGATTAAGATAAACCCAACTTGCCCGAAAAGGTTAACCAGACAGGACCCAATTTTCAAAATGTAAAAAAAAGGGAAAAAGTGGAAAAAATGGAGGGCACACTTATATAACTAGGTATTGTCATGTACTTTTTATTGCTAAGTATGGAAATTATGAAACCATTATTATTGATAAAACCTTTTTTTCTTTTTTTATATTTTTTTTTCTCTGTGATCATACAGTAATAAAGTGTAAATAACATATAATAAAGTTATGTCCAGATAATACAAAAGCATGGTTATTAAGTGTTGTTTTTTCACACACAAACACACGCACGGACACACATCCGCACCCATACACCCACATTTCCTATTCATAAATACAAACAGGATTTATAACTATATAAATTTCGAACATAACGCACACACATAACAGCACACAGATACATCTACAGTTTTTGACTGCTTTTAAACATAAATGTTTTATATTTTATGTAAGTAAGATATTTTCATATGTTATATATTCGTATCTGGGAAAATTCTATTCCATTTTTGAAAATTAATTTCTAGTTTATCGTGATATAATGCAATACATCTTTCAATACATAGTCTGCTTCGAAAATAATGTAAAAATAAGTTAAATTGTGGTGTGCGTTTTCCTATTTTGCAACTATATATGTAATATTTTGCCACCATAGTTTGCATCTTTTTGTGTATCTGTGCTTGTAATTAAGTGAGATATTGTTTTCAAGTTAATTTCTAGACTAATATTCTTTTTTAAAATATTCTATTAAAACCCTACAAAAAAAGTTGCGTGTAAGAACATTGCCAAAGGAGGAGTTCAATAGATTCAATATCCATTGCACAAAAATCACAAAGACTCGAGGAAGAAAAGTTTTGTTGTAGGAGACTTTTGTTTGTAGCAATTATTCTGTGTAGAAATTTATATTGAAAATTTCTAAACTTAGTGTCAATTGTTGTTGATAGAATATTTTGGTATGTTACTTTCCCAACATATATTGTCGTTTTCAAAGATATTTTACCACTTATTTTCTGCAGTATTTTTGATGATAATGTTATCATGTTTTAACTGATGTTCATAAAGACATTTATTGATTTCATTTGTTTTAATAAATTACGCTAAAATATTTTTATTTTGGGTATTGATATTGACATTGTCTAGATTGATATCTGTAATGACGTCAGGATATATATTTCTTATTAAAGTCTGATATTTGAGGTATTCTGCATCAGGGATTTGATAAATTGTTTTAAAATTTTCAAAAGTGTAAAATTGATTAATTCTAAAGTCAAATGTTCCAAACACACAATTCCCTTTTAATACCAAGACTTATAGAATAATGATTTTTCATTTGACGTTATTTTCATATTTTCGTAATTATTTGTTTATTTGGGTTGTTACATTTTGGTATAACTTTTATTTGGTTCCAGGATGAGATTCTCAGGATGATATCTCTTAAAAACGGATAACTTTTAAATTTGCTTTGTATAAATTTGTCATTTATTTCGCATTCAAAAAGTTACTTGCCTCCGTATCTGTCTAATTGAGATAAGTATATCGATTTTATTAAAGATGTCGAGTCATCATTTATTGACAGAACTTACGATATATCTAACATTTCAGTTTAGGTTAACAATATCCATCTTCGAAGTGCTGAAAAGGGCCACACCTAGGGGGAAATGCAAGCCATAGTTATGTAACTTGCCCAGATCCTATACCTAGTATAGGTATATAGATGTGTAAATAATGAAATCATTTGAAGAAAGAAAAATTAAGAAAAAAACACTTATTTACATATATAAATCTTACGAATTAAACGTTAGTTAAACTTTGTAGAAGGTCGCTTCATAATTGTGACACAAAATGACGCTTTAGTTGTTTCTACAGTCTTGATAACTTGATAACGTAATATATTCACACTCCAGCTGTACAAAGACCTACTATTATTACTACATTGCCCAATAGAAGATTGGAACATGTGAATGTTATTGCAAACTTGGTTACAAACCTTTCATATGCGCTGTAATCGATATTTGTTAGGCTTTTGTCAAGGTCGTGAGAGGATGGTAAAGTCGCAAACCGTTTGATTCATTATATCACTGATTAAAAGACTTCGTAAGAAATTCATTGTTGATCCTGATGATAAGCTATTCAACAAAACCGTGAAGACAATAGTCTAGTAAAAAGATAAACTTACCCACAGTTGCTCTTGATTTTTTATGATGAAATATTGAACATGAACAGACTCAATGATACCAAGCCTGCAATATTTTCAATTTTGTCGTTTTATGTATGCTTAAGGGATTCTTTATATCTCTCCTTTGCAGAAAAAAGTATTTTGTTAAAAGCCGCTGTGGTTAAGCAAGCTACTGTAAAGGAAGAGTTATACCTGTCCCTGATAATAGTCAACCTCCTTTGCTATAATTACCTCCTGTTTCTATTAGATCTATTCTCAGGTTTTAGCTTGTCTTCCAGAACACCAAGGACTCTAGCATTCGCCCATCCTCCCATGTATTCATTAATATGACATAATCACAAAACACGTCAGCCATATTGGTTACCTACAATACCACAAAAGACGTACATTATGAGAAATGACCCCTTAATTCCCCTTTTAAAATTTGGGGTTTCATTTTTAAAGGGGGTGTTTTTTTCAAATGAATGAAAGGGGTTAAAAATAAAATGATCTTTTTAAATATGGAGACCCAACCCAAATTTTTCTTTCCCAAATAACTTCAAAGAGGACATTTAACAGTGCTTCCATGCAATTGTTGTAAAAATGGTGTTTATGGCAGTCTGCAAGTGCACTAATAACACATCTTTGAAGGATACTGTCGCTTCACATATGCATTTCATACAGTCAAAACAAAACCCTGCATTTTGGGGGATAACTGATGTACGAGGGGTTGAAACAAAAAATTCTTTGGCCCCGATGGACTTCCCCGGGGAGTCAGAGAACCCAAAAGATTGGTCTTACTTTTCCCAAAATAAGCGCCCCCTACATAAATTTCACCTTTTTCCACCTGTGCTCCAATTTTTTAACTCTTTTAAAATAGAAACTTCTATGTTGGGCCCAAAGAACTTTTATTGTCCCCCTCCCCTTTACACCTTTTATTTTCTTCCAAAAAGGGCTACCACGAAACTGTAATTTTTTAGTTTCGGATAAGGTAGGAAATCAAAGGGGGCCCAAACCGGAGATATTTGGGGGTGGGGAAGAATTTTAAAACCGCAGTCAGTTTAGCAAACCATTTGCTTCTTAGGGTTGTTTAGCAGTGCCCTTGTCGTGCAGGAGCAGAACGCATCGAGTCAGTTTGCCCCTCCTTTTACGCGCAATTTCTTAACGCAGACGTCTTAATTCGTCTGCATAATACGTACCTTGCTCACGATAGTCAATCATGTTACCCCCTGACTATCCAAAACAATTGAAGCCATCATCTTCCCAGCTCTTGAATTTCTTCGGAGGTGGTGAGCCAGGGTGCTTCTACTGCATGCTCTGTTCTTTTTTGGGTTCTGGATCGAAGTGTTGGAGCTATATTTCATCCGATCATTACGATCCGATAGCGTTAAAATCAGGTTCATCCTCGTAAACGAGACAAAATATATCTTGAAATGTCAAAGCCTGGTCAGTTTCTGGTCGTCAGTCAACTGTTTGTGGACCCATCTAATCCGGAAACCTTTGACATGCCCACAGACATCAGTCAGAATTGCCCTGAACTGAAACAAAGCTTATACCTTCTTCCCTAGCAATGCTTTGCAGGTCTCGCCTTCTGTCTCACATGACCAGATCGTGCACAGCCTCGGCAGTTTCATCGTTGGTGGCCTCTTTTGGCCGCCCAGGGGCGCTCATTCATCTCCAATGCTCCTCCCTGTCCCTTCGTAAATTCAGCAGCCCCATTTTTCCACAGTGCTATAGGAAGGGTACTCCTTCCCAAGTGTATCCATGAAGTCTTCATGGATTTCCTTGGGGGACATACCTTTCTTACAGAGGTATTTGATGACGGCTCTGACATTTGGTCTAAATGACATACCCTTCTACTGATCAAAGTGTGTTTTATGTTACCAAATCTGTGCAAAACCGCATTTAACTCGGTCAGTAATCTTCAATAAGATATCGGTACCGATGTACCATGTGTAAATGTACGTGCTATATATGTAGATAAGGTTAAATTAAGCCAAGTTCTCTTTATATAATAAATACGGTAGTTATTTCCCTTAAAGGCCAAACCAAATCTTTTGTTGTGTTATGTGTTCATGTTTGTCTTTGTTCCTTTTGTTATGGGTGATTGAACAGGTTTGCAAGATGTGTGATGGATGATTGGTTTTGGTATGCAAGTTATTTTTAGATGATTTGGTTCTGGGATAGCTAATATTTCTTGGTAACTGACCACTCCTTTCATTGCATTCAAGGTGGAAACACATTCTTTGCATTTACATTATTATCAATATATCATTTATTTCTTTATAGAAATATTTGTATTTTCTATATTCATTTATTCAATAATTAGATCTCATCTATTTAAAGCCTTGTATGTATATATTTATTTTAATTGAAATCGTGAAATGTTTGTAATGTATATATTGTAATTATTGTAATTATGAAATATGCAATTCATGAATTTTCTATTGTATAATATTTCTCTTTGTTATTTGTATTATAATATTTTTATCTTGTTATAGGTTTCTTCTACACCTGAATAAATATATAAACATCATCAAAGTGTTTATTGTTGAAAGAAACCCCCCACTACAAATTTGGCTCCCCGACGAAGATTACAAAGGACAGAAAAGAAAACCAGGCCAGCTGTTTCTGGCTGAGGGGGAAGCATTGCTGACCGTGGCAGAGACGGACCAGGCCTAGCAGCTGGGATCCGCCCTCTGCCGCGGCTGTCAGAAGCAGCAGTAGAAGTAGAATCATCATTCATACGTTTCCATTCAACTTACAAGGTATTAAACCTCCCACCCCCATCACGATCCCACCCCCCCCATTTTTTGTAAATAGAGCTCTTCGCGCCACAACAACTAGACGAAGACACATGTACATATAGTGATCAGCTGATATTTTAAATATAGACAGTGTAATATAGGACGCGGGGGAATTTGTATATACGGACAATAAACTGTGATATTTTTGTGATTTTTATTTTTGTGTTTGTGGGATTTTTATAATCATGTAAGTACATATTTTATTTTTGTGTATTTTTATTGTTTTTGGCGGTATTTTTCATTTTTTGTAAGGACTTTTTTTTTTTGTTAAATTAGGTACTATTTTCGGCCCATATTCCAAATTTTGTGTGACCTGTTTTGGAAAATTTAATAACAAGGTAAATTTCTTTATATTTATACATATATTGAGTAAATTTTTGGTTTAATTCAGTTTCTTTCAAGGTAAAGTTTTAACTCTTTCATAAATAGGACTTTTCATTTGATTTATTTTAAGTAAACACCGATAATGTAATTTTGTCACACAATTTCGCGATCTTCCAAATTTCTTTAGGGATTTTCGGATAAGCCATAAATTTCTTTTAGTACAATAAAATTACATTTCTTTCATATATTTGTAGATCTTTTTAAAAAAACCGCTACTGTTTATTTGTCATGTGTTTGTAAATATCTTTGTGTATATTTTATTTTTGTGTATATACATGTAGATACTATTTGTCTTATTGATATACATTGATTTATATTTTTATATGGATTGATACAATAAAGTTATAGCTTATATATATTTAAATAGATATCTAGAAAACTTTAAGATCTTGAATTTATTGTGTTTACATAGAAATAGATATTAGAATCTATATACTTTAAGATCTTGATTACTGTTTTGTTTACATTGTATTTATATTTGATATATATTACACTCTTATTTCTGATCTTTCTTTCTGTACTTCTCTACTTAACTAACAAATTAACACCCAGAACCAATTCGCGTGAAAGTATTTTTTTGTTTGAAAGTGAGTGCTGTCGTGTGATTTATTCGGTTTATTTTGTTTTTGGCGTTTGTTTGGTTGGTAAGTCATTTGGTTGGACGGCATAGCAGTATCAAGTCATGTGGTAATTGGAAATTGATTAAGGGTATTAATTGTTGACATTCTTTTGGGTAAATAAACACCTTTGATTTTTTCCCCACACATTTTAATTTGAACTGCCCATTTTTTTTCTTTGATATATTACTTTTAAGTCATATAAGTACTGGTTATATCCAGGAATTACATTGTAATAATTATTCTACATTTTTTTTTATAAATTGATTCGTAAGTACTGGTTACAGTCAGGAAATATTCAATAAATAAGTACTGGTATTTACCAGGAATTATTTAAGAGATATCTGCCCAAATATAACTGGTGTATTATATATGTTTGATTATTGACCTTTTGAATGTTAAAATGTACTGGTTATCCCCAGGAACTTGTAATATACTGAATTATTGGGTATCATTTATGTTGATCAGTACTGGTTCAAACCAGGAATTTGTGAATTTGTACTAATATTGGTACAGTTAGTACTTGGTAAAATACATAAGTACCTTTTACTATTTTTTTTAAAGGTGTATTTGATTATTGAGTGTCATTTAAAATAAACTTATTGGTTTTTCACAATAAGTTAGGTTATTTCCCTGGTTTATTTTACCCCAGATTTCCGCTTCAGTGTCTTATTCTTTGTACACTTATTTCTTTTATTTTTTTATTTTCTGTTTATCTTATTTTATTGACTTTGTTTTCATCTGTCCACTCAATCCCAAGGTTTTTTTTCCTGTAAAAACCTGCAGTCCCAAGAAATGTCCTTAATTCAGCAATGTTCTTAGGCACTGGCCAAGGAGAAATAGCATAAGTTTTCTCAGGATCAGTAGAAAATTTAGAAATACCATTCTTAGAGATAACATTCCATAGATAAGAAACAGACGTTTTGAAAAATTCACACTTAGAGCCTTTAAGTTTAAGACCGTGAGAAGATAAACGTTGAAAAACATTTTCAAGCCTAACAATATGCTCCTCAAAAGTTTCATCAACAAAAACAAGACATTCACGCAAAAGGAGGTCACCCATGGCACGTTCCATAACTCTTTGAAAAGTAGCACCTGAATTAACCAATCCAAAGGCAAGTCTATTGAATTCATAAAATCCAAGGTTACCAACAGAAAAAGCAGTATAGGGCTTTGAATCTTCCTCCATCTCAACCTGCCAGTAACCACTGCGTAAGTCAAGTTTAGAGAAAAATTTAGATCCCACTAAAAGGTCTACAGTACCATCGAAACGAGGAAGCATATAGGCATCTTTTCTTGTTCTTGAGTTAAGCATTCTTAAATCAATACAGAACCTAAGTGAACCATCCTTTTTCCGAACAAGAACTACATTAGAAGAGAAAGGAGAGTCACTAGGCCTGATGGCACCGCAATCAAGCATATCCTTAAGGTGCTGCCTCACCTCTTCATACATTCCAGGGGGAATTTTCCTGTAAGGCTGCTTGAAAGGGGTGTTATCATTTGAAACAATTCTATGGCGTGTCAGATCAGTACAACCAATATCAGTTGACCCCTTTGAAAATACATGATTCCAATTGCCTAAAACTGGGCGAACACGCAAAAGTTGCTGAGGGGACAGATTCTCAGTATCAGTATTCAAACCAAGAGAAGATAAATCTGGCTGTGAAGAGGTAGAGTTCAAACCATTAGAAACAGAATGAGAAGAAGCAAGGTTGTCTAGCACTGTAACTTCATTAACCACACAAATGTTAGAATTCGGCTTAATAGTCAATGACCTCGCAGTCAGATTACAGATGCGTACAGGCACCTTTGCATAACCGCTTTCATTGGACACTGAAACTATTTGTGGCCGAACAATATATAAAACATCTGCATCAGGGTTTTCAGTCACAAGCTTAGTATCTCTAGAGACACCTCTAACAAGACCATTAACAGGAATGGACTCATACGGTGCAACTGTGATAGGATGGTCATTGGTAGATTTGACTTTGTGAGGCTTACAAACTAAACTGTCAAATGCTGATTGCCAAACTTGAGACAAATTTGAATCAGTAGATGAAAGTTTACAGAGCCTGATAACATTGGTACCCAATATCACAGGACAAGATATGTTGTTATGTGTATCAGGGACAACTAATAAGGCACAGGCAACTGAAGGTTTAATTCCGGTATAGCATTCGGAACTTCAATGTACCCTAAAATATCTAAAGATTGCCCATTTGCAACTGAAATATCTAAGTTGATATTGAAATCTGTCAAATTCAACAGTGGCCGTCTATTTGACAATGACAAATAAAATGAGTTTGATACTGTTGAAACCATTGAGCCAGTATCAACTAGAGCTATGGCTGAAACACCATTAAATAAAATATTGGCCTTATTGGAACATCCAATAATTCTACTAGCAAGTGATTGCTTCTCAATAACCGCCTCTGATTGGCCAACAACAGAGGCGGACCCTAGTTTGGGTAAACCGCAGAAGGTCCCTGTTGCGCAGCAATATGGCCCTGCTGATTTACACCCTTACTACGGCCACGCCAACTGCGATTGGTATTGTAAGATGTGTTACGGAATGGTGTGTTATTAGGTAGAACAGTCTAAAGACACTGATATATCTTCTATTCTTTCCATCCTACGTTCTGGTTCTCGTCCGAGGAGGGAGGAGATGTCGAAAGACGTCAAATCTCTTCTTCGTGACTTCTCTCGTCTTTCTATCAAAGATGGTGTTCTTTATCGTACCGCCACTCTGGATGGAAAGAAGTACAACAACTTGTTATTCCTTATTCTCATAGGAATATTGCTTTCACTGGTGTTCATGACAATGTAGGCCATCCTGGACGTGATAAATCTCTATGGTTAGCTCGTCAACGTTTTTATTGGCCTGGCATGGAGGCAGATTTTAATAGTCGCATTTCAGGTTGCAAAAGTTGTATTTGCAGAAAGACACCGGTTGTACCTGCTGCAGAATGGTTCCAATCCAGACTTCAAGACCCATGCAACTTGTGTGCATGGATTTCTTGAAGCTGGAGAAGTCCAAAGGAGGATATGAGGACGTCTTGGTCATTACCGACCATTTTACCAGATATGCCAAGGCTATTCCTTGCCGTAATCAAAAGGCGACTACCACTGCTCGTGCCTTATATGAACATTTCATTGTCCTCTATTCTTTTCCAGAGCAGCTGCATTCTGACCAGGGGCGGAATTTTGAAAGTCGAGTCATCAAGGAACTTTGCAAGATTGCAAATGTTCGAAAGACAAGAACCACTCCTTTCCACCCTATAGGAAATCCATCAGCCGAAATATTTAATCGGACCCTTCTCAGAATGTTAGGTACTCTGGCAGAAGATCATAAATCTAAGTGGGCAGATTTTGTTCCCTCTCTTGTTCAGGCTTATAACGCAACCAAGAACTCTTCTACAGGTTTTTCTCCTCACTTTCTTATGTTTGGATGGCATCCCCGTCTTTCTGTTGATGCCTATCTTGGTACCGGATAGGTATGGAGAATGGGTATAATTATTGTATAAGGGTGTTTCATTTTTTTATGCAGTCATTTTAAATTTCATATAGGTCCTATGTATGGAGGTATATACTATGTATTTGTTATTTTCAAGTAGAATTGACAACTCTACTGTATTGCATTATTTCTTTATATTTTACTGTTTAACTATTGGAAAATAGGAGGGCAGTATATCTTAAATAACGCCTCCGTGGTCGAGGGGTTAGAGTCGATGACTTCTAATCCAGTTACCTCTCTGGCGTGGGTTCGATCCCCGGGAGATGCTTTGGTAGTTTAGCGCGGAGGAAGGTAGTCTAGTACTGGTGTAACTCTCCAGGAACGATGGTTAGGAAACTACCCGCCTATATGACTGAAATA